ATCTCTTTATTTTTAAAATGTGTATAGGTAGTATTTATAAAGTTTTAGCTTTTAGTTTGGGATGTTTTTAGTTGTTTTAATACTACAATTGATTGCTTCTGTTGTCCTTGTTTGTAAGTCGCTTTGGATAAAAGTGTCTGATAAATGACTAAATAAATAAATAATTATATATATATATATATATATTAAAAATATATAATAATATATTTGTTATATAATAATAATATATATGTAATAAATATAACAAATATAAAATATTAGTTAATCAAATAGTGACTATATAATATATACATGTGTGTGTGTATATATATATATATATATATTTGTATAATAGTCACTATTTAATTAACTAATATTTTTAATGATTTATCGCAGCGGATGTACTCCGATCGTTGGCTCTACCAGGAACATATGAAGGGAAAATCTGTCATTTAAAAGAACTTTGTGCGTCTGAAATCACTGGATCTTTCGCATAATGCACTGGTCACAGTTCAGGTGTGCACGTATATATATTTATACATTTCATGACATTTATAATTGACTGTACATCTGTACGTTTATACTGTTGTGTAAATGTCATGCTGATGTTTGTAGGGGATTGAGCGTTTGGAAATGCTGGAGAGACCGAATCTGTAGCTACTACAACCGGCTGGCGTCTCTGCAGGACATCTTTTCCCTGCACAAGCTGCTGAATCCTGTGGTCAAGAAACACCCGCTCTACTGTTTGTACCTGGTGCATGCAATGAACAAACTCCGCAAGCTTGGTGCATCATCTGTCTTCGGTCTGCTTCTCTCTGTTGCTGTGATGCTCTGAAAGTGAAAATGTTTTTAATTTCTCCCCGTTGCAGATGACTGTCCAGTGCGAGACCGAGAAAGAAAGGCGGCTCTCATGCATTTCTCATCAGAGGCAAATCTAGACACTAATCATAAGAAACATATCTTGATACAAGACACAACGTGCAGGTAATGATCTATTAAGCAGTGTTGTTGTTGTTAACTAAAACTATTAAAAATAGTTTTTGATAATTGAAATAAAAGGAAATATAAATATTAGATTAAAAAAATAAACACTAAACCTTAAATGTTGCCTTGGGAACTAACTGAAATTAAGTAAACAGAAATAAAACTACATAGAAATATCTCAAATGAACCATTTTAGTCTGGCTTTCTTGTAACCTCTTGTATGCTTTGGTTTTTATCTCTATTGATTGTCTATTTTATGTTTTTAACGTTTTTAATGTTATTGGTATAATCTATGGTTCTGTTTTTATTTGTTATTCTAATTTTAGTGTCGATTGCTTGTTCTTGCATGATGTAAAGCACTTTGAACTGCATTGATGTGTTTGGAAAAGTGCTATATAAATAGAATTTGATTGGTTTCTTGGTTTAAAAAATGAAAATGGAATCTGAACATATACAAATTTTAACTAATTCAAAATATTAGATACTATAGAAGTATATGAGTGATAGTAAATTAACCCTGCTTATGAGTTGAAGTCACACACAGTTTGTCGTTGATTGTCGTCACTGTTTTGCAGAAGTAGTGAGTTCAGAATAAAAGCGATGATGAAGATGATGAAGACGCTCTGGCTTCTAGAGGGGAACGAGGAAACTTAATCATGTCTCTAGAAAGACCTGGACTTGCAAGAGACCTGAAACTCTCTCCGTCCACAGCCCTCGTCTGTAACAGGGTAAAACACACTCTCTCTGACTAAAAGACAAACACTATATATTGCAAATAAATAGTTAATATTTAATATATCACCCAGCCATAAATGCATAACACTTCTCCACTTCTATATTTAATAATAAATGACAAATATACTTTACTGTTTGTGAACTATTATCTATGTTTGTAAATTTTTTTTTTTTTTGTATTTAGAAAATCCTTCCGAATCTGATATCATACATTTAATCAATGATCCTGAGTGTGAAAGTTCGGCTAAACAAAATAAGGTGCATCTATCTATTCATTCATTATATATATACATATATAAATGTGCCATAATGAATGTGTGTGTGTGTGTGTGTGTATATATATATATACACACACACACACACACACACACACACACTACTGTGCTAAAGTCTTTGACTTAAAACCAAACGCAGAGAGAAAACGCAAACCACAGAAGGTTTGTAGGCTGCAACTCAACACAAACAGAGCTTAAAAAATGGACTTATTTATCTATCCGCATGCTTTAATCAGGGTGCCTACAGAAGCCCATGGAGCTGCTCCTCGGCATGATGGAGGAGCTCTGGTCTGGGAAGAAGGAGAATCAACAAAACAGCAAACAGTTCCTCAGTAAGCGATTAAATCTTCCTCTGCATTTTTGTTGTTTTCCAGTACAAACATCTAAACATCCTTAAATCAAGATCCATTTACTTGAAATCCAAAATGAAGATAATGTAAGTCTTATTTTTTGAGAAATAGAACAAAATTAAATGAGTTTATGCTTAAAACAAGAACAAACATCGGTCAATGAGGTATGAAAATTAATGTTTTTTTTTCTGAGCCCAGATATTTTTTTCTTGTTTTGATCATAAATATCATTCATTTTGATACATTTCTCAGAAAACAAGACGACTTATCTTGTCATTTTGCTTCTCAATGCATCTTGATTTAAGAAACCCTACAATTTGGTCCTTAAATTTTCATTATTTGGTTTTAATACCTTAAATTGCCCTTCATAAAACATGCAGAAACCCCTGTTAAAAAAAACCCTGTGTCCATGTGACAAGTAGCCCCGATCTCCACTATGCTCTGCTGTTGCAGAACGCAATCCTTCGAGTCTTCATGTGCAAACATCGGTCAGTGAGGTATGAAAATTAATGTATTTAAGATATTTTTTCTTGTTTTGATCATAAATATCATTCATTTTGATAAATTTCTCAGAAAACAAGACGACTTATCTTGTCATTTTGCTTCTCAGTGCATCTTGATTTAAGAAACCCTACAATTTGGTCCTTAAATTTTCATTATTTGGTTTTAATATCTTAAATTGCCCTTCATAAAACCTGCAGAAACCCCTGTTAAAAAAACCATGTGACAAGTAGCCCCGATCTCCACTATGCTCTGCTGTTGCAGAACGCAATCCTTCGAGTCTTCATGTGCGTTGGAAATAAACGAGAACCAGGCAGTTTGTTTTTTTTTTTTAATAAGATGCTACTGGAAAGTCATAAAATCTTAAAACTTCTTTAAAAAATCTGCTCTATGCTCTAAAATATTAAATTAGCTCAAGTAAAACTGAATTGAGTGAATCATTCTTTTGAGTTGATTCAGTGAATCAGTGGTTCACAAATCAGTTCATCACGTAAAAAAATGTTAGGGAATTTTACATTTGTGTTTTCTAGATCTGGAAAGTCATAAAATCTTAAAACTTCTTTAAAAAATCTGCTCTATGCTCTAAAATATTAAATTGGCTCAAGTAAAACTGAATTGAGTGAATCATTCAGTGAATCAGTGGTTCACAAATCAGTTCATCACGTAAAAAAATGTTAGGGAATTTTACATTTGTGTTTTCTAGATCTGGAAAGTCATAAAATCTTAAAACTTCTTTAAAAAATCTGCTCTATGCTCTAAAATATTAAATTGGCTCAAGTAAAACTGAATTGAGTGAATCATTCTTTTGAGTTGATTCAGTTAATCAGTGGTTCACAAATCAGTTCATCACGTAAAAAAATGTTAGGGAATTTTACATTTGTGTTTTCTAGATCTGGAAAGTCATAAAATCTTAAAACTTCTTTAAAAAATCTGCTCTATGCTCTAAAATATTAAATTGGCTCAAGTAAAACTGAATTGAGTGAATCATTCAGTAAATCAGTGGTTCACAAATCAGTTTATCACGTAAAAATTTTTTATGGAAATTTATATTTGTGTTTTCTAGATCTGGAAAAGTCATAAAATCTTAAAACTTATTTTAAAAATCTGCTCTATGCTCTAAAATATTAAATTAGCTCAAGTAAAACTGAATTGAGTGAATCATTCAGTAAATCAGTGGTTCACAAATCAGTTTATCACGTAAAAATTTTTTATGGAAATTTATATTTGTGTTTTCTAGATCTGGAAAAGTCATAAAATCTTAAAACTTATTTTAAAAATCTGCTCTATGCTCTAAAATATTAAATTGGCTCAAGTAAAACTGAATTGAGTGAATCATTCTTTTGAGTTGATTCAGTTAATCAGTGGTTCACAAATCGGTTTATCACG